GCTCCCTGCTGAGAGTGCCACAAATCAGCACGTGGCCTTGGCCCTGAATGAGTTTCATCTGGTTGAAGAGACAAGATATTCGCACAGGAAAGAATCTGAAAACTAGCCAGTTAGAGGCTATTTCGGTGGAATCCTCATGGAGCCTCAGTTTCCTCATCTACAAAGTGGGGACTATCGCTGTGTCCACCTCATAGGGTTCACATGAGGCATAAACAGGTAAACAGCATGGCCCGTGGCTGGAAAGGGCCCCTTTGGGGAAACTAATGTTATCATATGGTGGCGCCGCTTCCTATGAGCTGTCCATATTCTGAATAGAAGAGAGTAGGGTGGGCTATGCCATTTATGGGGACTGTGGAGCGGGGCTCAAGCTGGGGCCTAACGGACAGATCTGCACAGCGAGAGGGACTGAGTGACGTTCCAAGAAAGGACACCTGAGTATCTGGGGCACGGGAGAGGAGATAGGCTGAGAGTTGCGGGGAGCCAGGAGTACACAGGGTTGGGAGAAGGTAGGTCCGATCACAGAGAGCCTGAGAAAGCAAAGACAGACAGGAAGCCAGTGATACCTCCAGACCTGGCCCCACCTTATAAGCAGTCTGGCCCCACCTGCCCACCAGCCTCCCAAGGAAGCTCTCTTGGCTTTGCCTGGCAACCCCCTTCACAGGGAGCCAACAGAGCCTCAGAAAGGCAGGCCCCTACAGACATCTGCACTCCCTAGAAAGTTCTTCCACTGAGCCACACACAGCAGAATCTCACTTGGGCCTCACTGCAAACCCAGCTGTCACCTCTACATCTTACCTGTCTCCCTGTGGCAGCTCTGAGTTCACAGCCACTATGCTTCCTCCTCTTTCTTGCCACCATCACAGTCACCCATATGCTTGGCAACAACCTAAATGCCCCCATCTCACACACACACATGCGCACACGCACACACGCGCACACCCCATGTTCACGCGCGGCCCAGTCTCCTCACTTACCAAATCCAAAGCTGCTTTGAAAAACAGTAAGTTCTCTCCCCTAAAAGTGTTTATGACGTGTGTTTGGCCTAGATGATGTTCTAGAATTGTACCCACTAAGAACAACATGTTATTAGTTTCCATACACTCCAGAAACTGGGCTTTGCACACATCCTCCTGCCAGGATGGAAAGCAGTCATTGTGCCCATCTTACAGATGAAGGAAGTGTGGCTCAAAAAGGTTAGGTGCCTTCCTGAGGTCACCAGCTGGTAAATGACAGAGCAGGGATCTGGACATCTGATTGCAGGCTTCTTCTACCTGTCAGGCTTTTTCTACCTGAGGCCAGCCTGCCTCTCCAAGTTGACAAGCCAATAACTCATTCAGCTCATCACTCTCTGCCCTTCCCCTGTGCCTGGCTCCTGACCCTTAGGAGCAGCTGGAAAAACTCATTCCTTGCTTCTCATCTGCTTTCTAACAGGATCTCCCAGAGGGGCTGGAGGCCTCTCTAAGGTAACGGGGCCATTGGTAAGAGCTCCAGACTAAGCCACTTCCCGTCCTAAATGCTGAGAGGATGGCTTCTCCCTGTGAGATGGGCTCTTTTCAAAGTAAAGGTCTTTTTTTATTGAACTAAACAGTCTTCCCCAAAATAGCCACCTCTGACCTCGCTTGTGCTGCACCCCAATCCACTCCTTCCACAACATGAGTAAAGCCGTCCTACTGAAACTTTCATCCCCAAACCCAAAACTGCAAGGACTTTTTGGTTGTTTTAACTTTTTGATTAAAAAGATATGTCAGCACTGATTCTAAGAGCAGAATGTTCAACTTAAATGGACATCGACAGAGCAATGCTTAGTTGACATTCAGCGCATCTGTGAAACCGAATACTATGCAGCCATTTAAAATGGTGCAGATCAGTTTGTAGTGACAAGGAAAGCTGTCCATGATGCAGTATGTGGAAAAAAGGGAAAAAGGATCACAAGACACTTGTATTCTATGATACTCCTTATGTAAAAACTCACACACACATCAGTACAGAGATATGCGCGAAACAAGCTCACATTAATTTACCACATAAATTCATGCCTGTAGCTGCTGCATGGTGGGACTTGAGGTGACTTCAGTTTCTTTCTTATACTTTCCTGCATTGTTTGAATCTTTTAAAAGACATCTATGTTTGTATAAGCCGACATTAATATTCGTCATTGCATTTAAAAATAAGTAATAGATGCACATTACTGAATTTTTTCCATTTCCTGAAGAATAAAGAAAAAAAATAAAATTACACATAAACTCATCACCCAGAAGTAACCTCCATTAACATTCTGGGAAATTCTCTCCTCCGCCTATTTCCTTTGGATACAATTTTTATACAGTTGGGATAATTCTATAAATATTTATTGAAGACGTACTATTTGCAAAGCGTTCTGCAAGGTTCAGAGACGTGAGGATGCATGAGATGTAAGTGGTATGCCCTCCTACAGTGTCGACCCTGTACGTTCTCCACTCATGGTTTTGACTGGCCATGAAGTGTCCCTTCGTTTGGATAGATCAAGTTCCTGGGGTGTTCCCGTGTCCCCTGGTACTGGAACGCCTGGGCTGCTTTGATATTGTTCAATTAAACAGCACTGCATAAAGCTTAGTGGGCATTTGAGAGAAATACATTCTTAGAAATGGAATTACTTGGTCAAAAGTCGTGAAAAAGCTGACGGATTTTACAATCATTGGCTCATTCCTTCTCATGGCAACCATGGTTTATAAGGCATTTGACTACAATAATTTTTCATTTCACAGATGGCAAAGCTGAGGCAAGGACAAACGCTAAGACTTGTATGAACAAAGCAAGGCACTCAGGAAGCCCTGAGGGCAGGATCCCCATCAGGAGGTCAGGGGTCGGGTGGAGGGGTCACAGGGACTTCCGATGACGTTTCACATTTACGTGCCTCTATTTCTACCCTTTTGCACCAGTCCCCACTGTGTAGATTCCGGGACGCACTCCTTAGCCCAACATCCGTTGATTCCAATGCCTTCTCCTCACCTCCTGCACCCCACTCCACCCCCACTCGAGAAAAGGCCCGAGAGAGGCAGGCAGAAGAGGGCAATGTACAGACAGCATAGCAAATACAGCCTCTCTCAGGAGACCCTGCTGGTGGCTTCTGAGCAAAAATGTCCACCGAGGCCCAAGCCCCCTGAGCCTCCCGCATCAGCCTTGCTCTCTAGCCCGGGGGCTGAGTGCCTGCTCTCAGGGGAGAGCCCTCCAGAAGGCAGCCTGCGAGGCCAAGGCAGCTCTCTTCCTGCTCCCAGGTCTGAGGGCTTCTGCTTAAGGAGGCATTATCGCCATTTAGGCTGAGAAAATGACCTCGACTGGGTAGCTGGCCCTCTCCCCCTCTGCAGGATCAAGTTTCCAACCTGGGCCAGCCACTTCCCCGAGAACCCTCAGCAGAGGCTGCTGGAATGAGGCAAGGAGGTCATTTTTCTCCCACGCCTGATTCCTCTGACAGGTGGTCCTTGAGTTTTGCCATGGAGAACCCCGCACCCCAAGAAGCCGCCTGGGAAAAATAGGAGAAACCTGCTGCGAGCTTAAAATCTTTACAGCCAGAGCAGCCTAGTGGGGTGAGCCCTCTGGGGCCATTCCTAGCCTCGTTTCTCAGGAAGAACCTCGGATCCAGAGCTACCCAGGCTCTCGCTGTCGGAATCCACATCCACCACTTCTCCTGACAGGGTACCTCCTGCGGGCAGGCTCTGAGCCTAAGGCCAAGCATGCTTCATCTCATTTCGCCCTCACAGTAGCCAGTGAAGTGAGTCATGTTCTCTCCATCTTGCTAATGAGGAAACTAAAGCACAGATTGGTGAAGCAATTTTCCCAGCACCACACAGCTAATAAGTGGTGAGGCCAGGCTCAACCCCACCCAGGCCACTGTGATTCCATGTTCTTTCTCCTGCCTCATGATGCCTCATGTTGATGGACATGAGCTGAGAAACAAATCGGATGCTTTGGATAGGAAACTCTGGGGCCCTGGAACAAGACCGTGTGCTCTGCCTCAGCCGCCAGATCAGCAGAGCTCCCCACCCGGCTGAGCTAAGTGTGTTCCCAGTGGCTAAGAGCTTTGGAGCCAAATTGTCCGGTATTCAAATTCCTGCTCCATCATTACTGGCTATGTGACCCTTAGGCATGCTTAGCTTAACTTCTCTGTGCCTCAGTTTCCCCATTTGTAAAATGAGGATAACGAGAGTACCCGCCTCTTAGAGACGTGATGAGGTTTAAACGACTTAATATTCCTAAAGCACGAAGGGCATGCTCTCGTGTCAGTATCCCCTGCTGCGACCATTTTCACTACTAGTGTTGTCGTTGTTGTTGTTGTTGTCATCGTCCTCAAGGATCATGGCTGCCCCGGGAGGGTGGGGCTCTCGGCTCAGCTTGGGCTGGTGCTGGACTGGCAGGGCCATGCCGAGCAGGGGCGAAGAAGCCAGCTACTCAGGCCCTGCAGAGCCCAGGATGCCAAGACCCAGGGAAGACACCCTAAGATGGTTCTCTCTCTTCCAAAAGGGGTGGGTCTGCACCCGTCCTTGTCCCCTAGGAGGAGATACACTCGGGTGGCAAGTGGCCCTGATTTCTATCAGTTCCTGTGTGGTCCTAACCTGAAAAAGAAAACCTTGGTGGTAAAAGATTTTGCAGAAAATCCTCTGAAGCAAAGTTACTGGGAAAAACAAAAACACACAGGACTTCCCGAATCCTCTCAGGAAACAAGAATCTCCTCCCCAGTAGCTGAGTGTTTGTGATAAACCAAAAGAAACCCTCGGATTTCCTAGAGCTGCAGGAATAAA